TAGCCGGTGTATGGTTATAGCAAATCTGGGGGGTAAATTTACCCCTGCTTATGTATGCCTTGGGTCGGAAAGAGGGGTCAGCATTTCTGGCATCACAAGGACTGTAGATACACTAGGGCGTCCGTAGTGTAGGATAAGCACTGGTAAAAGGTATCAGGATAGAGTGTCTTGAGGGAATAGCCGGTGTATGGTTATAGCAAGCCTGGGGGGTAAATTTACCACTTATGCATGCATTGGGTTAGAAATAGGGGTAAACAACTTGTAACAGTGAAGTACAAGTCCTATGCAGCAAGCAGCAGCCAGCAGGCAGCAGCAACCACCAACCAGCAGCCAGCCAGCAGCACCACGCAGCAGCAGCGCAGCACCAAGCCACAGCAGCAGCAGCACCACCAGCAGCAAGCAGCAAGCAGCAAGCAGCAAGCAGCAGCAGCGTCAGCAGCAGCGGCGTCGTCAGCAACAGCAGCACCAGCACCAAGCCGCAACAAGTAGCAAAGCAGCAGCAACAAAAGCGGCAACCAGCGGCAGCAGCAATCAGCAAACAGCAGCAGCAAGCAGCAGAGCGGCAGCAGCAGCACCGTTTACACCAAGCCACCCTTTACGCCCAACCAACCACGTTCACACGTTCAACCAACCCCCGCTACACGGCGCAGCTGGGAGTCGAACCGTGGGCGGGGGTGAGTGTGATATATCAAGCTTTAAGGCACGCAGCTCATCTCACTGCCAATTGCTAAAGCAAAGAAGAACTCAGCTAGCATGCTAGCTTTCGTGACAATTAGATCTACACGCCAGCGTGTAGATTGTCGACGTAAGACATCTCACTAAACACGCCTTCCTTTGTGTCAAATATATATATATAACCGTCGAGAACCGCGAAGCGACCTGCAGTGACATCCATCCCCCGAAAGAACCGTGTGTGTTCGAACGACATGAGTCGAACACGCGGAGGAAGGAACGCACAGCGTTTGGAAGCGCCACTGCCAAACCCCAAAAAACTTGAAAATATAAACAGCCAAAGGAATCTGTGTATATATTGGACTATAATGGATAAGTTACGTTTACCTTACATGGAGTGTCTCCGATAGTACGAATCAATACGGTTTCTCGATGTTGGAGCGTTGATCTTGGAGGCTTGTCCAGGGTTTAGCTGACACGAACACAACATGAAGGGTAAAAACGTACCGAGCATGCCAATTTCTGGAAACAACCATGTTGGTTTGTCGCTTGGAACGCACCTCCGTCCAAGCAGACTCACTCCTTACTTGCCATGTCATGGCCGTGGAAGCTTCAATGCAGTTGTGATGATTCAAGACCTCCAAATATCCAACTCCACGATCGTTCCTGAGCTCTGGATCTGCTCTGGCTTGAAGTAGCAAGTTCACAGCTTCAGGATTTCCAAACCACGCGGCGATGTACAATGGAGTGCTGCCACCACAACCTGCAATGCCCCTCAACAGTGCTGAAGGCCTCCTCTGGAGGTTGCACAGCAATCTGGCCAAGAGCCCCAGTGGTCGGTAAAAACCCTCACGGTAATTGACATCAGCACGTGCTCCCAAAAGCAAATGGATGATTTCCTGAGATGTGCATGTGTGTTACCTAAACACAGCCAAGAAATGACAACAGTACTCCCTATGGATTCCACTAATAGCGGATTTAAATTCCCATCCAGGTATCTCTACCATGAGGCAATCCAGGGAAGGTTGTTGCCGTGGAGAGCGGAGAAAAGGAATACATCCCAGCACCACAATTGAGTTCGGCCCGTGATTCAATCATGATGGAAAGCCCTTCGGGCTCCAATGGACGTAAGATGCAAGCAGACAGGGGCGGCATCCCAAAAGGAGGCTTTCGTTGGTTCACATCTGCCCCCATCTCAATGAGCAATTTGGCAATCTCTTTGGTCCCTGCGTGACCAATCACTGAAGTTCCGATTGCATCTGTCTCATTGACATCTGCTCGCAATGCTAGGAGTGCCATGATGGCAGCGGGATCACAAGCATGCTTGGCTGCGAAGTGAAGAGGAGTCAAACCAGGAATGATATCAAGATCCAAGTTCTTTGAGGCACGACAGTGAAGGCTTGCGCGCCTCTGCACGAGCGTGGGAATCAACTCGACATCGCCACTCAACACTGCGCAGGCCAGCGGACCGATGCCCTTTGTTTGGCCCAATGATCTCCTTGGATTCATATATATATATATATATTATATATATATTATGCATACATTCTCTTGCAAACAAAGCAAACACACCAAGAAGTGTGGTATTATCTCCTGATATTGACGGAGATGTTTCCCTATGCCTATCTGTGCTGCTTGCAACAACACCAAAGAATCCAGGACAAAAAATACAAACAAACATCCATCCATCTCAATCAGTCCAGGTCTCTGGTTGAAATGGAAATCAGTCAAGAACTCTTCAAGACTTCGAGTTTTTGGAGCAGATCCAGTGATTCGCTCAAACCTCCCAAGAAAATATCGGAATTCATCGAGCTTCTGCATTAGTAGCAAGTCTGCCAACCTGGAGAGCTAGGGGCACAACTAACCAGGCTAAATTTCCAAGGGAGCAAGCAGTCTTGATTTCCAAGTCTTACAAGTGTCCCACAATTGTGTTCCAGGAAGTAAATAGGCCATGGCCCACCACCCATCTGAGAAAAACTCCTTTCCCAGGTTAAGACTCCCAGTATCTTCCAGTTCAGCCATTCGTGGAGTTCCACCAAATCTGGAAAAAAAAACATAAAGCACAAAAGGCATGCCATCGTCTTCGCCTTGCCAAACCGGCCGGGCCGCCTTTCTTTCAAGAAGAAAGAGACGATGGGTTTCAAGCCGTCACGATCATGCTCCATGGTAAAGCCACCTTCATGAACCAAGGCATAGAGCCAAAAATGTGCACGGAGGAACTTCACTCCTTCATCGCCTCTGCAGCGACGACCGGGAAACGGTGGGTGATGCATACCGAATACCTATAGATCCCCGTCCGTTGGCAGTTGATCACCACCGTTAATTAGTTGGTTCTATGCAGTTATACAGGGGCTCTCTATTCACCACCCCAATCATTCGGTCCTGATGCTCAATGACTTCCAGAGCGGCTCCCCAAACTGTCGTGTTGTTTCGTGAACATTACTTCATTCTCGAGCAGTCCGACTTGCTGTTTTCTTGCCCACGCAAAAATCCAAGAAATGCCTTCAAACAATCTCGGCCTCTGAATCCAACCACAAGTAGATGGGGATGGATGGGGCCCAAATTGTCCCATCTATTATTTATATACCAACTACACTTAACTATTAACCCCAGAGACAAGCAAAGTCGATGGGGTCACTCCCACCCGCCTGAAATCAGTAACATGGGTAGTTCATGTCGCTTCGAAGAGATCTGTCGGAACCAAACCTCTGCCCGGCACCAACCTCTGCTTTGCCACGTTTGGTAGGAACATATCGCACTCCGAGAGTTGTGCAGCGTTGGGGCTAAAATGCAAAAAAGATCCTCAGATGTAAGGCTGCTAGGGCTGCTATAGCGCAATCATACCACAAGAACAGTCCAAACAACCTTCGACAACATGGTCTCTAAGACTCTTGATGCTCAACAAATGCTTGCCAAAGTCCGTCCATCACCCAAAAGGGTGATGTGTTCAATCCACTGTTCACCTGTGTTCAAAACATTCAAATCAAATGTCTCGTGCATCCCAAGGGCGCAACGTTCAACATAGCTGGGCATGCATTCTTTCAATTGCACTATGGACGCGTGGAGGCTGCTTCTTCTCTGGGGAACGCAGAACCAATCCATCCAAAGGTATCCACTGCGGATCTGTTCCTTCTCTCTTTCGCTGAGCACCCTTTGGTAGCCCAGACTTTGGGCAAGGACATCATACTCCACCCTCAACGAGCCATCGATCACATTGAACAATGCCATCCTGGGCATCGGCACCATGTCACCACATGGGACCATTTCACCTTGTGCTGAATATCTAGAAGGTATATTACAATAAAATGCAACGATGTAATGTATATTATATGGATTTGGTATGTCTATGTATGTCTTATTACCAGGCCCAAGTGGATGACAATGGTTAACAGTTGGAGGCCTTTCTCTAAAGTAATTAGGTTTAATTGTTTACCAACTGTCACAGGTTTACTGGGACAGCCCCCGAAGTCATGGACATCTTCCGAACTTCTTGTCTTGGGAGCCCCGAAACCCACGGTCGACATGGAC